ATGCAAGTCTTTTTGAAGGAAGGTAAAGCTATTCCCCCTTGGAGAGGGTACAGAAAGTTAGCAATTTCGCTTCAAAGCCTAACCAGCAAAATCCTTAACAATTCTGCCACCAGATCAAGATAATCTTTGTTTGGAATTCCGTAAAAAGCACAATTCAGAGCAGCGCTGGGAAGTTCTGGAAAAAAAGGTAAAATAAATAGCATGTGCAAAATTAACACTGGGGATAGAACTTTGCTAATAGGTAAGCCTCATATTTTAAGTTGTAGTGCTGAAAAGGTCAATAACTCAAGACTGGGGGATAGTAAATCTTAGTGCTTCTGCCTTCTAAAGTTGCCCTGGATTTTGAGAGCACAAGGGACCACTTGTGAGTGTGAAAATCAATAAGTGGAGATAAAATGACAGTCATTAAGATGGAAAGTTGACATATCCAGACTACAACTACACTTTCTATTTTTAGTATGCTGATTCTCCCTACTTCGCTTTCTTCCACCATAAAAAAGTTTATTTATAGCTTATTGAAAATTGAGCATCTGAAGAGGAAGCTACGGTTATTCTGAAAGCTTTTGGGCTGCTGAATTACAAAAAAGCACAAACAGTAATTGGAGAAGAGTTAATGGGAAGTCGGGGGACATATAAATTCAGTTGATAATGTGCAAATATATGAAATTACGATGTTGATGTGTCTTAGTACGAGAAGTGCTTGCTTTGTATGCAGAACATCCAAAGTTCAGCCTCCAAGGTCTCCAAAAAAGGAGAAAGACTTAGTCTTGAAACCTTAGAAAGGTAGGAAGCTGGTTTGCCTGGGCAATACAGGTAGTCCTCAATTTATGACCACAACTGAGCCCAGAATTTATGTTGCAAAGTGAGAATTATGTTACTTGCCCCATTTTACTATTTTTCTTGGCACATTTAAATAAATTAGTAACATGGTTGTTAAGTGAATCTAGTTTCCCTATCAGCTTTGCTTGCCAGAAGGTCGCAAAAGATGATCACAATAGAACTTGTGACACAGCAACGGTCATAAATACGAGGCAGTTGCCCAGCATCTGAATTTTGAACATGTGACCATGGAGATGCTGCAACGGTCTTAAGTGTGAAAAATTGTCATAAGTCACTTTTTTCAGTACCATTGTAACTTCGAACATTCACTAAATGAACTGTTGCAAGTCGAGGACTACCTGTACTGAGTTAGCTAGACCTAGGCATTGTCTTGACTTAGGCCAGTTTCCTTTACGTTAATGCTTTTCTCTTTCTCATTCTGAAGAAAATGGTACAGGCTGAAAGAGAGATTATGCTGCAGTACTGTTTTCCACGCCTGGATATGAACGTTAGCAAAGGCATCAATCATTTGCTGAAGAGCCCTTTCAGCGTTCACCCCAAAACAGGTCAGTTGCTGAACACAATACTCTTGCATATTTCTTTTTGATGGAAATTCGACGAAGGCCTAAAATGGCAAGAAATATTAAAGCTGGAGGTGGAAACACAGGGAATTGATTTCAACCGTGGAGATCACTGTATTGATACTCTGCTACTTGCTATCTCTCAGCCTGGCTGAGACTTCAGACTTTTTGGAAGATGAAATAAGGTAATGCTATATATGCAACATTGAGCATAGAGAACAGGGAGGATTTAAGCATCATTAGTAGCAACATATTGTTTTGTCTAATGGACCAATTTTTCCTTCTGGTGCTTCTGAAATGTACGTTTCCCTGTTAGTGTTTTCAGTTATGAGCAGTTGGAGGAAATAATGCTCAAATCCATTGTGATTTGAGGCCTGAAGGGGTCATTTTGTGAAAACAAATGGGTCCAGCATATACTGCTAATATAAAATTATAACTATAGAAATGGAAATGTTGTCTCTGGAGTTTGCGAGTTTTAATCAATCTAAAGCAATATTTTAGATTGAGAATCCTGTTAGGCATTAAATAAGTTCTATTAACTATGTCATCTTAGGAAGAACAGCCAGGATACAAACAACAGATAAGCATGTTTTGACTCTTCTGTGTTAAGAGATTAAATCTTGAAGGTTGCCTCTTGAGTTTCCCAGCGTGTGCTTAGAGTATAGGACAATACAGGTAGTCCTCGACTTATGACCACAATTGAGTCCCAAATTTCTGTTGCTAAGTGAGACATTTGTTAAGTGAGCTTGCCTCGTCTTACGATCGTTCTTGCCACAATTGTTAAGTGAATCACTGCAGTTGTTAAGTTATTAACACGGTTGTTAAGTGAATCTGGCTTCCCCATTGACTTTGCTTGTCAGAAGGTCACAAAAGGAGATCACATGATCCCAGGACTCTGCCACCATCATAAATGAGAGTCAATTGCCAAGGGTCTGGATTTTGATCACACGACTATGGGGCTGCTACAATGGTTGTAACTGTGAAAAATAGTCATACATTGCTTTTTCAGTGATGTTGTAACTTTAAACTGTCACTAATGAACTGTTGTAAGTTGAGACTTTCCAAAGTCTGGAAAAGTTTCCATGTGGACATTTACCCAGTTCATGGAGCTGTTCAGCAATGTAATCCCTTGCATGTTTTTTCTCTTCCCATTAGTAGTTTTTAAACCAAGGGCCCCCAACCCCCCAGGCAGCAGCCCACTATGGGCCTTGAACCCTTCAGAACCAGGCCACAGAAGTGGCGGGCAAGCACTTGTGTGTGCATACACATTTCCACTTGTGTGAGCAGCAGGGAAGCCTGTGCACACTCCCATTTGTGCAAGCGGCATGCATACGTGCTCGCCCCTCACGCAAATGAGTTTTGTGTATGCATGGTTGCTCACCGCTCGCATGGAACCGTCCCCTCTCTTTCCCCACCCCCCACCTCTGCCCCATGGCCGGTCCGGAAAGCCAGAAAGGTTGGGGGACTCTGTTTTAAAGGAAGCTGTTGTAATGCTGCCTTTGACTTTTTTTCAGGACGCATTTCAGTTCCAATTGACCTGAAGAAATTGGATGACTTTGATCCATTTGCTGTCCCCACTATAAGGTATGGGTTATCTCTTTGGGATTTATGACAAACATGCACCTAGAAAGTGTAGGAATGAAATAATGCCTAGGTTCACACAATACATTAACTATGGTTTCTTTAGTCACTGGTTTGTTTGGTGGGGTTGTTGTTGTTTTTTTGCATAATCAACAATTGGTTGGATTAAACATCATAGTGCCTACATCCACTTAGTGGCTCAAGCAAAAGAAAATACATAATATCACTTAATGTGGTAGGTGCATCCAATCAGTCTCTTCCAACACAAATCAAGAGTGGATCAATGAATTCCATTGCATAAATTGTCAATTTACTGGATCCAAGTTCAGAGTGAAATGATTGTGATCAATATAGGTTGGTCAATTTCCGTGGATTTTCCATTGTTTTTGTTCTATTTCTTAGCAACCTCTGTCATGAGCTGGACATGATTGGGAAAGATGAAGGGAATGGAAAGGAAACTGAAGGTCTGCCAGAAAGCTCTCGTAAAAGCCGAGGTGCGTACTATCATACTGTGTTTCTCCAACAATATGGTCTCCACCAATAGGAAGGCCCAGCATGATTTCTAAGCATGAGGTGAAATTAAGCCCCGCCCCCAAAATTTAGGCCTATTTAAACCATGCGTTTCCCCGCCATTTCTCACATCATTCGTTAGAACTACACGAGATGAAGAGAAATGGGGGGGAAGGGCGGGGGGTGGGGAGAAAACTTGCCTTTAGGAGTGCCCTGCAGGTAGCCTAGGCTAGAATACCCCAATCTACCGATAGAAGCTCCCCGAAGGCAGAGTCCCCAGTCGCTTCAGGGCGTGGCGTGGCTGCCCATGTCCCCTCGCCTTTAGGCAGTCTTTTTCGGGCGATGGAAGCTCCCCAAGTGCAGTCACCAGCCACTTCGATCGGCCGGTAGAAGCGGCCTCGGGGCGAGTGCACACACACACTCCCCTCGTCGCGAGGCCGCTTCTATCGGCCGACGAAAGCTCCCTTGAAGGCAGAGTCCCCAGCCGCTTCAGGGCGTGCCATGGCTGCCTTTAGGCAGTCTCTTTCAGGCAATAGAAGCTCCCCAAGTGTCGTCACCAGCCACTTCGATTGGCCAGTAGAAGCGGCCTCAGGGCGAGCGCGCACACACACTCCCCTCGCCCCGAGGCCGCTTCTACTGGCCGATCGAAGTGGCTGATCTGCACTTGGGGAGCTTCCATCTCCCGAAAGAGACTGCCTAATGGCGAGGGGACATGGGCAGCCACGCCTCGCCCCGAAGCAGCTGGGGACTCTGCCTTCGGGGAGCTTTCGTCGGCCGATAGAAGTGGCCTCGCGGTGAGGTACATGCGTATGGGCCACTCTACGTGGGGGAGGAAATTAAGTCACCCCCGAAAAGACAATAAGGCCCGGCCTTATTTTGTGAGAAACAGTAGAAAAGATCAGGACAATTCTTTAGCCAATTCTGTTGTCATTGTGAATGTGTCATTTTCTTGATGCATAGGTAGATATGAGGAGGAACAGGTTGAAATGCTGCATTGGTGGCACTAAATTATTCAATTGTGTATAATTTCTCTTATTTTATACCCCTGTATAGAGATCCTGCAAAATTATAGGCTGGAAATGCTTTTAGTAGAAAGCTTTTTGAAAGAAGATGCAACCACTTATTAAAATTATTTTCACTGCCGAAGGATCCAATCAGCTAATTTTTGACATTACTATATCTCATTGGAATTATGATTTTTAGACAGTTTCCTCCCTCGGTGTAAGCAGCAAATCAAACCAAACTTTATAAGTGCACCAAGCTTACTTTGATTTTAATGCCTATCCTTCTTCTTTCCCAATGCTATCATTTGGTGACTTGCTGTTGATATCAGTAGTGCAAAAAAAGAGGAGAACTGTAGTTGTTTTCTCTCCTGTGTGTGTTGAATTGAAAAGGAAGTGAGCATATTTTTTGTGAGAGTGAAGATTCTCAATCATCCAGGTTATGGCTGCCCTAAAGGTGCTTTTTCCAAAAGACAACCAGACTTTCTTGGGTATTTTTTTCTTTGAAAATGATACGTAACGCTTCATGAATTTCTCTGTCATCCTTGCACAGGGGCCATGCTAATCTTCTCTGTATTGTTCCAATTTTAGTATATGTGTTGCCAAAGTCAGCATTCTTTTTCAAAGAAAAAATAAAGTCCAGTTGCCTTTTGGAAAAGCACCTTTGGGACATCTTTTGTGAGAGATTAACCTCACTTCCAGGTCAGATGCTTTGTGCATTCCTGATTTGACCCCAAGGACATGCCAGATTTAATTCTAATTATTTCATATTTTTCTATTTGTAAACATTTCAGAAAACTGATCTGTTACATCTCAATTAACCATTTGTCTTGCTATGCTGCTTATTACTATTATTTATTTTTTATTGATGGGAGAAAATAGACAACTGGGAGCCAAGCTTAATGCCTTGCATCTGCTTAAATAATTGTGATTTTAAAAATTGAAAATAAAATGAGTCTTTTCTCCTCCCTCCCAATCTTTTTTTTTTTAACAGATTATAAGAAAACCAGTCTAGCTCCATATGTGAAAGTCTTCGAACAGTTCTTAGAAGAAATGGAGAAATCTTATAAAGGACAACGTTTGAAAAATAGCGGTAAGGGCTTGCTTCAGAAGGATGCCAACTCCAACTTTCCCTCCCCAAATTGTTTCAGTGACATCAGTGTCATAGTGACATGGACAGTGACATAACTTGATACAAAAAATAAACTTTTTTCTCTTCGTTTTTGGCAATTGTTAACAGAGAGAAGCTAAATTCAAACGTTACATCAAATATAAAGTAGCTTTTTTAAACTCAGCATTGTACTTCGTAAATGGTAGGATGTAGGAATCAGGCAACGAGATATAGTTAAACAATCTAGGACAGTTCCTTGTGTGTCCAGTCATACTTGGCCAATAAAGAATTCTATTCTGTTCTGTTCTTACTTCAGGTTGTGAGCTGGGTACAATATCAGGAAATGTTGTATTATGTATTATAGAGCAAGGATGTCGACTTGAGGTTACCTGGGATAGAAATTCTTAGCCTGTTTGATGCATGACATTGAATCAAAAAAGTCAGTTCTGTAGCTATGTGCGTTGTATAAATTATATGATCAGTTTATGATTCAGTGTTATGTTAGCTCAGAACATTTGGATAATTAAATAAATAATCAAGAGAGGGCAGCTATACTAGGCCAGGAGGATGGGTCTGCTTTAAAGAGTTGTAAACATTTTTTTAAAATTTAATCCAAAGTATTGCACAATAATTTTGGCTTCATGTGATAAGTACTTACACCTAAATACACTCTGGTTGCCACTTATTGCCTATTGTGAGGAAATTGTAGATATTTCCAAATAATTTGTGTTTTCAACTTTAAAGAAGAAAACTTTTGCAGAATATACCTCCCCCCCTCCACCACCTTCAATGTTAACAACTACAGCTAGTCCTCAACTTACAACAATTCATTTAGTGACCATTCAACAGTATAATAGCACTGAAAATGTGATTTATGATGGTTTTTCAGTTACGACCTTTGCATGTGATCAAAATTCAGATGCAACTGATTCATGTTAATGACCATTGCTGTGTCCCAAGCTCATGTGATCACCTTTTGCGACCTTCTGACAAGCAAAGTCCATGGGGAAGCCAGATTCACTTAACAACCGGGTTTATCAACTGCAGTGATTCGCTTAACAACTGAGGCAAGAAAGGTCACAAAATAGGGCAAAACCCACTTAACAAATCTCTCACTTAAAAACAAATTCTGGACTCAATTATGGTTGTAAGTCAAGGACTAACTGTATCTGAAACAGCCTTTCCAGGTATGTTGGACTACAACTCCTATCAGTAGCCACCTGTATACCCATGCAGGAAAGAAATTGTAATTAACACTTCTGCAGTTTGGAGGTGGTTAATATAATTAGTTGTATAACATATTAAGTATCTTCACAGTATGCCTGAATTGTGTTTAAAATTAATTTTTTTTTTTTTCTTTAAAGACATGCAGATGGATTTCTGACATTTTGAAGACATGGTGCATTATCACAGGGCAGTTTCATGCGGCCAAATAATTGTATTCAAATACAGTAGAACTTCTGACTGTATTGCTAAGATTTCTGCACAAATCAGCCATTTACATTTGACAAAGTCAAAACAGGTTTTCTTGCTGAAGAAGAGGTGAGAAAAGTGTTGTTATCCATTCAGATTCTATCAGCTGAGCACAACATAAAATAAATATTTGGTTTTGCATAGCATGGGAGTGTAATCAGTGGGATACACATTTGTCAAACAGGAAACAATAGGGGTTTATATTGCAGAATATTGTATGTAACGTACACATTCATGCTTTATTTGACAAGCAAGTATCAAGCAGTTTGGTTTTTAAGAATTTAGGGTAATCCTCAATTCACAATGGCAGCTGGGACCAGAATTTTGATTGCTAAGCAATGCAGTTATGAAGTCTGTTAGCATTGCTTAGCAACAGCAATCCCTGCAGTCCAAGTTACCATTGTTAACTAAATCCCAAGGTCATTAGGTGAGGCAACTTCCTAGCCACTTACCAAAACAAAAGTTAATGGAAAGGCCAGAAGAAAGTTGCAAGTCCCAGGCAGGCAGGCAGGTACGTGGCTGCTGCTGGGGAGGTTGGGGGGAGGTCTATCAGCTGAGGAAGTGCAAAAGACACATGGTGTCTGTTGTGTCAGATGTGAAGGAGGCATGGGGAAAATTGGGGAGGATACGCAGGTGTGCACAGGCGGCCAGCACAAGCAGAGAGCGGCTGAAGTGGGCTGCACAGGTCGAAGAAACTTACCCAAGTGACTTGTGGCCTTCCCTGCTGGCTTCTCCATTGATTTTCTGAGGAATCTAGCAGGGAAAGTTGTAAATGGTGTGCAACTAGTCATAAGTGCAAACCTGTTGCCGAGTGCCCAAATTGTGGTCACATGACAGCAGGAATTCTGGGAATTCCTGGGGAGTGATCATAACACCATTGTAATTTCAAATAGTCATGAACAAATGGTCATTTGGTAGATGGTAGATCTTATTTTTACCATCCAGTACTTCACCAAAAAGCTAAAGCAGCCCACTTTTAAATGGATTTTACCTCAATGCTACGTAACTTTCACTTTTTTAAAGTAAAACTGTCTGGGATTTATCAAATCAAAACATAGAATATTGCAAACTAAAGCTTTCAGATAACATCATCCTTATTGAAATTGTTTGAATGAGTCATAAAGCTTTATAATATATACAGAAAAAAAATGGAGGTCCACATGCTGATAAATGCTGTTTATGGCAAACTTTGCTAAGCTAGTGTCATGTTACGGTTAAAAAAAAATGTCCATAATTTAAAATCAGAGAAAATAGAATGCAGTCACCTAATGTAATACATAAAAGTCAGGCTGTTCAGTTCCATTTTACTTCCAATAAAGCAGCTTTCCTAACGTGGCAGAGATAGATGTCCTTTAGTTTCTGTAATCTCTTGACCAGATGAAAATTGGCCTGACACCTCCGGAGTGGTCCCTTCTCTGTTAAAAAAAAAAAAGGCTGCTGTAAAAGGTGACTCTATAAATGTGTAAAAACTGCCTGTTACATACTTAATTTCTTTTTATTTCATTTTAACTAATTTTGTTTGTCTGCTTTGTTTTCTTTTATACTTAAGCACCAAATCTTTATAATTTATTTTTTTTAATCATTAAAAAAATAAAGTTCTGAAAAGTGACAAATTTGCTTAACCCTTACACACCCATCGGAGTTGGTTCTACCATAGAATATACAACCGCCTGGAGCTTGTTCCTGGAAGGGATTTAACTCTTTGAGTTGACCAAATAATTGCTTTCCTGGTTTCCTTGGCTATGTGTATATTTGGGGCAATAGGCATTCCATACAAGGCCTCTGCATATTTTTCTAACACCACCCTGCAAAGCAGTCTTAGCCATTGAAAGGTTGAGCATGTATGTCTGCACACACAGAACAATACCCTTTGGGATATTGGCTAAAATACCTGCTTCACTAATTATCCAAGTGGATGGATAGTGTGCACAGGTGACTTCAGGACTACCACAAAGCAGCACTACTTGTCAACCCTGGCCTAACTAGCCATTTTTTCCTTGTAGCTTTTCTCTAGGGATGTTTCCTTTTCTCACTGCTTCAGGGCTGAGCCTGGAGCAAAGGGGCCAGGGAGGGGGGTTTAGAGATAACTGGGGTATTGTAGCCTAAATAAAATTCTTTCCCCTGGGAATCAAGGAGATTGGTGCAGGTGTTCGCAAGGTGGAGACAGGTCACCTAGCAACTGGACTACATGCTGATTGGACCATGTGACTGGAGATGGGGTGGGGGGAGTAACAAAGTTTTGCTTTTAATTGGGTGTAAAACCCGTGGGAACTTCAAGCCGGTTTTCCAGCAAGTTTGTGCCAATTTGATATGTCCCAATAAAATGTTCTTCGAGGATTATGCCTGTCTCGGAATTCTTATTGAAAGGGATGTATTACTTGGAACCTTGACACTACTAAACCTTTGAAGAATTGCATTGTTTTGTGTAAATGATTCATGTGGGACTTTTCTTACAAGCAGACGATCTTAAAAAAATCTTAGCTATGCAGATTTAAGGTTTCGAAGAATCTCCATGCTTTGTAAACTAATTCCTGTATCCAAACATGCAAGTTTGATCCTGGAACACTGGGGAACTGCCAGAGGACTGGAAAAGAGCCAATGGGGAGGAAAGACTGTATTTTCACTGGTTTAGAGCACGGTAAAATTAAAACACCCTATTATGGTAATTATATGATTCAGTGGTACAAGTACATTTATCTTGTTAACATGTAAAGCTAAAAAGAGCATCTTCCATCAATTCTGCCCCACTTCACATAACCCTTTAAGTTTTTCTCTGCTTTGGTGCTGGACCCAGAGTTAAAAGCAGAAGCAAATTAAAATAGCAAACAGGCAAAGGCTTAAAACCTTGCCCACTATTTTCTCCACATTACTGTTTCATTTCCACACAATTTTCCACAGGCTTCCCATCTAGATCTCACACATATATCTCCTTATTCCAAGGCTGCATTTTAAAAATGGGGAGGAAGGGTGAGTATGAAATTGAGTGACTGAGGTGGATCCTTTACACAGCTTACAAAAGACTAGTGCCAGCACATTTATGTAATATCTGTCCATCAGAAACAACCTGACAGCGCCACTATTGTACAATTATCCCATAGCCAAGAAAAAACAGGATCCACCTAGGGAATCTCCCATTGGATCCCTGAGGCTGGGGAACTGAATCTGGTTCTGTTGTAACCAAGATAAGGTTTCCCAAAATTGATCGCAACTCCCATTGAAGTCTATTTCAAGCGTAGGAGAACACTATATTAAGTTCCGCTTTTTCTCCCCCTTAACCTCACAACCATACTGCAAGTTATATTAGATATATGTATATCTCCCACAAATCCAGCAGCTCCCTGCAGACTTTCTCTAGAGATGCATCTCTTTCTGACACCCTAGCCCAGCTTCAGCCAGCTACGACATCACCAGAGATGTTGAACTACAACTCTCAGATCAAGGGCCAACCTCAATCTTGGGAAATTGACTGATGTCATTTAGTCGTTGGGCTCTTAGCAACCATATGGATTTTCTCCACGATTTATCCTTAATCTGGTCTTTCAAGTTTCCCAACAATGCACTCATCACTACTGTAACTGGTTCAGAAATGAACCATCTCATCCCTATTACATTGCTCCATCCTAGCCAAGAAGAAGGTATGTTGTGTATCTTGTTGGTTAAAGAAGTCCGACTGGTGGCATCCAGGAAGACAGCTTTCCTCTGCCGATGCTCCCACCCTTTAGAACATTTTACCCCAGAGATGAGATGGTCCCCACTCTTGCCCTTCCGGAAGATTGTCAGGACCCCTGGCTCTGCCAATTAGCATGGAGGTCTAAAGAATGACAGACAAACCTGGGGATATTTGGTGACTTGAGAATATTCCTTAATTTTTTTTTAACTTTTTAAACATTTTTAAAAATGTTTAATGGCTTTAAAGCCATTTTAACAATGGCTTTCATTGTTTTTAATCTCTGTGCTTATACTTTTGTATCGTAAACTCCTTTATGTCAGTTAAGTGAGGTGTGTGGTGTAGAAATTGGATAAGTAAATAGACACTACACAATAAAGCAAATATTAAGAACCATCTATTCATAAACAGACTAATTCGTCTTTATTTTTCCTACTGTCAGACTGATGGGTGTCTATGAAGATCCTCAATCATGCAGGACATGGTTGTCCCAAAGGTGGTTTTTTTCAAGAGGCAACTGGACTTTCTGTTTTTTTTCTTTGAAGACGTTTCGCTTCTCATCCAAGAAGCTCCAACCCACCAGTCAGAACTGAAGAAGCTTCTTGGATGAGAAGTAAAACGTCTTCAAAGGAAAAAAAAAACAAAAAGTCCAGTTGCCCTTTGAAAAAAGCACCTTTGGGATGACTAATGGGTGAAGGTTTGGGGGGGGACGGGGGGAGGGTTGGTCCTCCGTGAGCCAGGAAGTTCTACCAACTTTTGCCTGAAAGGTTTTGCACCCGAAGTTTTAACAAACAAACCTTCCGGAAGAGTCAGGAGGCGTTGCCGAAAGGGCACGTGGTAAAACAGACTTTTAGGACCCGGAAGCTGTTCCGACGCATACCGGAAGTTGGCTTCCCTTCACCTCTCTTGTCTCTCTTTCTTTCGCCATCTTGCGCCCGGATCGTCTCGTACGGTAAGTTTCGTCGTTTGTATCCGCCGGCATCTGCCTCTCATGGCTCTTTAACCCGGCCGGCGGGGAGCCGCTTCAATGGGAAACGCTGAAGTGGCTCAAGGGGACGGTCCGAGGGCGGCGGGGCGGCCTGGGACAGTTAAGATTCGGCGGGGGCTCCGAATAGGCCGCTTGGGCCGTTCGCTCTGGATTATGCAGCGTCAGGGCGGCCTTTTGGGAGTGAGGGGGGGTCTCCCTGGACGGAAGAATGATGTTCGCTCATGAGCGCCCAGGGAGAAGAAGGCCGCCCCTTAAGGAAGACTCCGGCGCTTCCAGTTAAAGCAGGAGGTCTTCATCTTGGAAACGGGAGGACTTAACGTTCTTGGTTTGTGTTCAGTTTGTGGTCGGTGGCTGGACGGTCTCCGCTAAACGATCCCTCCTTTTTCCCTGAATATTGTGTTATACAAAGAATTGAAAAGGGTTGTGGTCAGAATTGGAGTCGACTCTTTCGCGACCGCCTAGATCAGGGATCCCCAAAGTTGGCAACTTTTAAGACGTGTGGACTTCAACTCCCAGCAAAGCTGGCTGGAGAATTCTGGGAGTTGAAATCCACACGTCTTAAAGTTGCCGAGTTTGGAGACCTCTGGCCTAGATTTTCTGCATAAGTGGTCAAGTAGGGCGACAGGACATCATTTGCTTGCTGTTAAAAAATTAGGAATAAAGCTTGCAGGACGGTAAGTGCGATAATGGTGGTGGCGGTAGTGTCAACACGCAGGCATCGTATATTTAGTGGAAGGGAGAGAATGCTGAAACTGTCCCCTCCTTGGTCAGCCCCTCCTTTTGATTGAAGTGGCATGCAAAGGGATGTTGGCTTGGTAAAAGATATGTGGAAGGAACACACTGATGGAGGTGTGATAGAATTAAAAACAAGGAGGTTTGCTAAATGAGAACCAAGCTTCATTAGGGAAGGGGTAGTTGTGGGTATAAAGGCTTTTTTTTAAAAGCATGAGCAATATCTAGTAATGAAACTTGGCTATGGATGCTTGTGTTAGGTGCAGCCAAAAAAGCTAATACAATCCCAGGTTGTATAAACAGGTGTAGAATCAAGATCATGTGAAGTATTAGTACCACTTTATAAAAATCCTAGTAAGACCACACCTGGAGTACTGCAATCAATTTTGATCACCACACTACCAAAAAGTTGTTGAGACTCTGGAAAAAGTTCAAAGAAGAGCAACTAAGATAAGACCTGGAGACTAAAATATGTGAAGAATTGCTGCAGGGTTGGGTTTGGCTATTCTAAAGAAAAGAGTAATTAGGGGTGACATGATAACAGTATACCAGTACTTGGGGGGGGGGGGGGCTGCCACAAAGCAGAGTGGGTCAAATTATTCTCCAAGGCACCAGAGGGCAGGGCAAGAAACAATGGTTGGAAACTAATCAAGGAGAGAAGCAACCTGGAATTAAGGAGAAACTTCCTAACAGTGAGGACAATTAACCCATGGAACAGCTTGCCTCCAGAAATTGTGAATGCTCCATCCCTGGATGTTTTTAAGAGAGTCTCGACCAGGACTGTCAAACTCCCAATCCATGGACCGGATGCGTCACGTGCTAGCCATTCCCACGCCTGGTTTAGTGAAGGGGGAAAAAGTCCCAATACATCACTTGACGCAGCCATGACAGCATGAGTTTGACACCCCTGGTCTAGACACTTACTGAAATGGTTCTTCTACTTGACCAGGGGACTGGACTAGAAGGTCCCTTGCAGTTCATTCATTCTATTCTATTCTAACTGGCAGAGTATACAGTAATAATTTCAGACTAATAATTGGACCTTATTTTTTGTTGCTAGATCATAAGCGTTGGCTATTTAATTGAGATAGTAAGGCTGTTATAAGACTACAAAAATGTAGAATAGATTAGCATTTTTGAATGTTTTAAAACTAAATATTGAATATAGAAATACATTGCTTTTTTAGGATTAATATCTTAATACAAAACCTAAAGTTCTTACGTGTCAGTGGTTTGCCTGGATATTGTGGCTGCAACAGATCAAGACTATATTGTATTCTACAATTTTATAATATAAAAGATATAGGGAAAAATAACTACCTTTTATTTTGTTCCTCTTCTATCAGAAATGCCTGGAGAAGCCACAGAAACTGTCCCAGCCACAGAACAGGAGCTGCCCCAGCCTCAGGCTGAGACAGGTTAGTATTTTGGATGATTCAACTACCTTTAAAATACACTCTCCATTAGCATAGAGACCCATAGATGTCCTTTTTGGAGAGTTCCTTACATCCTACCATGTGTTTGCCCAATAGCCTTAAGGAAATAATCTGCTAATTTCATCCTCTTATCTGTAGTGTATTAAAAATAGAAATTTACCTTATAGGGCTGTTGTATGGTTAATTAAGAATTATGAGGAAACATTAGAAATGATTATACAGTGGAACCTCGGGTCGCGAATGCTTCTGTCCGCGACCAAATCAGGTGACAACCAAAAATTTCAGAAAATGTTTGCATATGGCCGCGAACACATCTTCAGGTGGTAACCAAACATAGCTGCAGCAATTTTCCCAGGTGTGATTTCCCTTTCTGCACTTTTTTTTTTTTTTTTTGCCTTTACATGTGCAGTCAGTCGTGGAACGGATTACGGTTGTGATCCGAAGTTCCACTGTATACATGTTTGGGGGATTGGATATAATGTTTTTAAAGTGAGCAACTGCATGATTGCAGACCGGAACTAAATGCTCTTTCATTGAAATTTTGGAGCAGCTTTCCTTTCACTCCCCACAAGTGCTGAGTTAACACTTGCTTAAATCCAGAACATCACGAAAACATTAGGCCCTTTAAAAGTATATTATAAGGACAATACCAATAACTAAGCTACTAGATTTTTTTTCACATAGTTCTTGGAGTTATCAGATGACATATTAGAGGTGTTGTCTTACTATTGTAACACACATTGGATGTTAGACGCTCATTTAATATTTTGGCTTTATATCAGACTGACCTTACAAAATAATTGGGATGTTTTAAAATGCTATTGCTAGTAAATGTCTGAGATTTTTTTCAGGAAAGAAAAGTGATATTTAATTCATTCTGAAAAATATAACCATCATATTTTTAAACTCTAAAGAAATCAGGACCCCCCTTTCAAAAAATCTCAGATTGGCATTTATTAAGCATACTGTGCCTGGCTATACATGAGATTGGCAAAGAATGTGCCTCATTTTTGATGGATTAGAATTGTGTGCTATGAGCTTTTTTAAAATGCTGGTTATACTTTAGTGTGTTTGGCTGTGTTGTGTGCTTACTTTTACTATATTGGATTTACTAACTTTGAACTCTACTGTTTTATTATGTTTCAAGTGATATGTCTTGAGGGAATTTTGGATGCTGGATAGTAAATAATTTGATTTCATTATTTGCCACATTTCTGGCTGGAAGCTTAAGGGATATTGCATGATGTATGACTTGGCTTCTATACACACATGCGTGGAGCTGTTGTCCATTACTGGATTGTTATTTCTTTTTTGTAATAAGTTAATGTATTTATTAAAACATTTAAGAAACAAAGAGCTACAAAAAGAGATGGAGACCTAGTTGATAGAATAATGTGGCAGTAATTAAACATAAGATTTACAATTATCATAAAATCTAAAAATCATTATTTTATTGTCCAGTGCTGAATTATTAATATAGGGGTTTCTGTCCTGGGGGTGGCAGGTCTGATTTGAAAGCTTAGGGGAACTTTGGAGTTCCATTGAGAGTTCTGTGAAGAGTGATCTGGGCAGCAGAGATATTGTTCTTCTGGGCCTTGTTCCAGCAAGTACCCGTTTCTACTCCTACACTAGAACAAGGGCATTAGAAACAGATATACACCTCCTGATTCCAGAGAGCTAGAAAGGGTTCTGATGTCACTTCCTGTGGAAGACAGTTCCCCTGATCCTGGCCTCTTCTGGAGATAGACATGTCTCCAAACTAATATGGCTAGAATAACCCTGATGACACTTTTTCTTTTTACTTGCTTTAGTTTTCATGGCTTTCACTGTCCTTTTTTGGACAGTGAATCTAGCAGTCAGCAGTATAGTGTCTGGAGATTCCTTGGAGCTTTCTATGAGGCCAAATAAGAAGTTTGATTTCTAATTTTCTAAGTCCATGCTTAATCTTTTCAAGAGAATTAAGCCAACATAGTGGTGCCCAGATCCAGCAGATCTATACTGCTTCTTTAGATAACGAGATGGCCAACATACTGCCTCTACCTTTGAATTCATATAACATACAGCATTCCTAAAGATAATCTAACATATTTAGCAGGCCCCCTCCTCCCAAGAATGTCATTTCTTCTTGGTAACATAGACCAACAAAACAGCTGCTATAAGCTATCATTAAATCGCATGCTCTCACTCATATGGCCTCTTAAGAGATCATATGGGTGAGAGAGTTTGTTGTTTCTTCTCTATATTAATAATATCTAAAAAGAACAGGATAGCAGAATATCTTACCAGATCAAATACTGCATGTTCCAGATGGAAAACATGATCGCTAGTGAGAGAGTCTAGGAAAAAAAAAAAGTATGCCATAGGCTTGCTAGACTTAACAGGTAGTCTATTTACACATTCCATTCTATCTATCCCACATTGCTTGGGTTTCAGCATCAGGGAATTTCTCATTTAGCCAGTCAGCTCGCAGAATATATATGAAGGAGATAGTAACTATCATAGTCAACTTCAAATCATAGGGAGTACATGTGTACCTCTGGGTAATTAACCTGCTACTCAAGTTCCCTTTGACTGAACCGGCAAAGAGGGATGTATTAATCATGATTAAACCATCGAAGAGTCAAGAGCATATTTCAACCAGCATATACCCCACAGCACTTGGACACCATCTTGAACACCAAAGAGATCTGATCTCCCTTGCAGAGAAAAGAAACCATCCAACAGGTGTCACATAATTCCTCCAAACCAGCTGCCTGGAACTTATGATTTTCACAGTCTCCAGGGTTAGATAATTGCCTGTATCAATGTATTGAAATTTCCTTTCCCTGAAGTAAAGGCTTCTTCCTTTCCAGAACCAAATAGCCCACATAGTCAAAAGACACCTATCAATTCCACTGAAAGTGAAGACATCTCTCAGGTTGTGACTCTTGGGAAGGGAAAATACGCTCTCTGACCAGGTTTTATTAATCAGAGACATCACCCTCAGGAGTGGAGGCTGGATTGCTTAGGAGAAATAGTTTAAGAATAGGAAACTCAAAGCTTCTATCTTCTGAGACAATCTAAAAGAACTTCTGAAAAGATAGCAAAGCTTATCAATAAGACAAACTTCTGGGCTGGGCATCAGATAAATTCAACTGCTGAGGTTTAGAACTCAAGTAATAGATCAGCCTAAGCACTTTCAAGCAAATTATGTTGAGTTAACAAGGGATGTTCTGATAGCTCCCATCCAGGGGTGGGATAAGACAGGGTTAACTTTCAGTTCGACGAGGTTCGGTGATTTATGATGTGCTTCCCTGCACCTGCGCTCCCGAGCATGCTGAGTACAGAGAAGCAGCCTTTCAAAAAGCCCTTTTCTCCTGCTTTTTTAACTGCAGCTGTGCCTCACACGGCAGCTGAAGTTGAAAAAATCAGGAAATAAAGGTCAGGTAAGAGCCTGGGTGGGCGGATGTTCAAAAACCTCAGCAGACATAGAACCGGTTCTATGTCTGCTGCTCTTCAGAGCTACAGGCTCTACAGAGGTGGACAGAACCGGTAGAAACCCACCCCTGCTCCCATCAGTTCAAAGCAAAATATCTTCATCTCATGCTCCCTATCTCAGGAATTATGGGCAGTAAACATCTTTAAATCCACATGGCCCAAAGACCTGCTACATACCTTTCCCATCCCCATTAACTCAGGCTCCTGACACTAGTTCAGAACTGGAGAATAGAATTATACTGAGTATGCTAATAGCACTCAACTGTGCCAGGAAACTGATGCCATACTTCAATCTAGGCAACCTATCAGTTTCTTAAAAAGAGCTTCTGAACATCACTAGACTAAATCAAGGGGGACAGTTATGTGCCAGGAGATTGGATTTATCTCGCCAACCCAGAAATAGTTACAAAATACTATTGTAGCATCAGGATTCCAGCAGTTACTCCAATTAAATCATGAGTCTTGAACCACACTCCCAAAACTAAAGAGGATTTGTTAGAAGTTAACATTCCGGCATTTGCCTGGGTGCAACCAACTGTGAGATAAGTAATTCACTGTCACCCTTGACCCTACTTTTCCCCACACCCCTCTGGGTGTATCATCCAACGAAACATGTCCATAGCCAAGAATCATCAATCATGCTCTCCAATTAGGTTTTTGCAGGACAGAAGGTTCAGTCAATCTAATCAGTCTTTGAAGAAAATATGAATGGAATGTACTTTCAATTCCACACTCCTGCCTGCTCTTTGAAATTCCCCCCTTCTTTCTGTTGACAACCATAAAACACGTATACAATATGTTTTATGAGTTGACATTTAGAATCCAAATTACTTTCTACAATCTACAAACATGAATTCACATGAGAAGCTTTCTACTACTGATCCCAAAATGAAGGGAGGCTCTACTACATCAGATTTTATTTCCAGGTCTTGCCTTTCCTACATGTGGACTTCAACAAGGTAATGTAACCAAACCCTCTGCATGTAGGAGTTGTCCCTCTCTTCAGTTCTAGCACCGGAGAGCAATGAAGAGCTCTTTGCCAATCTCACACCAAGCTGTTTTTAAGGAAATTTTCTCTGCTATCTGTCTGTGAATGGCCATGATCAAACCTTCAGTTAATTCTAGAAGTACTTGCCCAGTACTTACAGTTCATCAAAACGATCATTTGGCCAATAAATAAATAAATGCAGAAAATAGTTCCCAGCAAGGATTATTGGCCCATGCCCACAGCCCCAGATGGTCTTCTATCCCAGAAAATTATCTGACCCCCATTATAGGAGAAAGATGCAGTGAACCTTTTTCTATAGTGGAAACAGGATTTCTAGAACATTCAAGTACTGAGAACAGGGGAGAGATTAAAGGCAGGGGTCCCCAGGCTGTGAACCGGTAGGAACCGGGCCACACAGCTGGAGGTGAGCAGCAGGTGAGTAAATCTGCACACGTGGGATCTAGGTTATCTGCTCCTCCTACTCCTCCCCAGTCTGGAAAAATTGTGTTCCATGAAACTGGTCCCTGTGCCAAAAGGCTGGGGATCACTGGATTAGGGGACCTACCAGTAAAAATAGTCTTTTTTTAGCAACTAGAGTTGGGACTGGCAACTTGGTTATTAAGCGAAACAGTTGCTAAGTAACTATGACTCTGCTTATAATCTTCAGCTTCACTTTGCTTTACAGATCTGCAAAGATAAAAATGCAAGGATTGGTTCTAAAGTTTTTAATCATTTTAGCTGAGAATGGTCACTAAATGAGGCAGTCACCAAACAAGGACCATCTGCATTCACCATTTGTCTCTACCATATTCCAATTGCTTCAGATTTACTTATCAAAGCTTGTAAACTGGCCAGTAATTGTGAGATTGGTAAAGACCCATTTTAAACTGTCCTGTTTCTGGTGGGGGGGGGATTCATTATACTATAAATCCAAAATGGATTTCTAGCTGACAATTCAAATCTAAACAAGCTACTTTGATTTTCAGTATATATTATATTAAACAGTTTCTGACAACTCCTTTTTTAAAAAGTTATCCTTTACTGGCTTTTTTCCTATGGTGGTTATATTCATGCCTGCTAATGCACCATGAGTTTATCTAGATTGGCTTTTGATGCATCATTACTAACATTCAGCAGCTGCTGTTAACTTAGAGTTCAAATGAGTGCATGTAAACATCTTATCACAATCTGAGGAAACCATGAAGGTAGGCATTTAATTACTTCAAATCTGCCAGTAAAATGGCACTAATTTGATTAGAAAGAGGATTTAATTTGTTAAATTCATTTCTAATATAAAGAAAATTGACATTTTCTGTAGTGTTTTTTTTTTATTCCTGTGCTTTTTGTCTTTTGCAACTGAGTTTAACTCACATCTTTCTGCATGACTGGATATATTTCCACTTGAGCAGCTGACCTTAAAAAACATATATAGTGGCCTTGTAGGATTTCTGAATGGTTAAAACTATTGTTGTAGCTCCAGCTCCTGGGGCTCCCATGGAGACGATGAACAAACCAGTTGCTGCCAAGAATCCTGAGGTAGGAGGCAAGGATTCTCAGGCTGGGACTGCTTTAGAGTGTTCAGGTAGGTTTGAAGTTAAAGCAGCAGACTAGAATTGCCACGCATGCATCTGACTTAAAATGAAAGAAAAGCACTGTAACACATCAGTGTTTCTGAAATGCCAGCTCTGTTTAATCTGATGCCTTAGATTTGATTCTCCCTCTTCCTTGATTAAACCACATAAATTTGAAAAAACAACTAGACTCTCTTCAGCTGCTCAGTACTGTATTTGATCCTTTCCTAAAGTGTTACAAATAGTCCTTGAGTCATAACCGAAAGCCCGGAATTACTTCCATAAGTTGTGCCCGTCATTAAATGGATCATCACATGACTGACCCAATTTTAAAGCATGTTTTGCAGCAGGCATTAAAGGAATCACTGTAATCATTAAGTGAATTCATGGTCATTAAGCAAGCCCATTGTCCCCAATGGGCATTTTTGCTAGAAGTAAATACCAGTTTCTGGCAACAACAAAAAAAAGTAATAAATCATGGTCACGTGATTGCAGGACTGCCAATAGCAATACGGGCTAGCACCCAAATGAGATCGCATGATGGGCAGCCATAGGAACTTTGAATCCAGGTCACAAGTACCTTTTTGTGTCCTTGACTCAAAACCTTGGGGAAAAGTTCATTGTACTTTCAAATAGTTGCTAAGCAACTCATAAGTCCAGGACTATTTGTACTAGGTTTGCCTTCTGTCATTTCCAATAGGCATTTTATTTGGAAAGTAAGATGAAATGTTTCTTAATCTTTTCTAAAATGTTTCTAATGGTGGAAGCATCAATAAATAATCCTTTCAAATTAATGCTAGACTCATGGCTATGTACAGTCCTTCGTGGAGAAATAGTTCTACTTACTAAAATGAACCTTATCACTTTCTGATTGTATCCTGGGCTGCTTTGCTACCTTGTTCCAGAACTTTTTTTACTCTTTATTTTGGAATATATGTTCAATTCTCCTATGATCATGTGTTATAACTGCTGCACCAGTTTTGCTAAGATTTGGTACGCAGGAATTGACATGAAGCACTAATCTTTTAATGCAGGGGTATCAAACTCAAGGCCTGGGGGCCAGATCCAGCCCACAGGGTGCTTAGATCTGGCCCACGGGGCCACCCTGGAAATAGCAAAGGACCAGCCTGCGGAGCCTGGGAGCCCGTTTTCGCTGGCAGAGTGCTCAGGCCCCCACAGGCACTCCTGACATGAGTGATGTCAAGCTGGCCATGCCCACCCCAGGCCTCCAAGTGTGGCCCTCAATGAAATTAAGTTTGACACCCCTGTTTTAAATGTGACTGTTTTCCTTATTAAATGAGATGTTAAGGAGCAATTATTTATTAATAATTAAAATATTTGCCTAATGGAAAAATATAGGATTAAAACCAGATGAGTTCATAGTTTATAAAACAGTCAGTTATGACAAGATTGAGGCTAATCCCTTCCAACTTGTGGATTCCAGCCTTTTTTCTGGAATATTTTGAATTAAGATACAGGCTTTAAGTGCAAGCAGCCAAAAGGCATAAGCTTCAAGATGAAATAGGATTGAGTTTCATAGATTTGGTTTCCATACTGATTTAGTTTGAGCACATGCTTAATCTAGCTATTACATCACTCCTTTGCTATATTTGCCTTGAATTCTGAATGTCATCCCAGCCCTGTTGTCATCCCAACTCACACTGTTAGAGTTATTACACTATCAAAAGGTTTTGCTCAGCTGACTCATTAGTCCATATCAAGTTTGGCAAGTTTAAGACTTGTGGACTTCAACTCCCAGAATTCCTGAGCTAACATGACTGGAGGAGGAATTCTGGGAGTTGAAGTCCACAAGTCTTAAAGCTGTCAACTTTGAAGACCCCTGGTCTAGATAAAGGAATAAAAGATTCTTGATTGTATTTTTTTTAAATGAAATTGCAAGTCCTCATAAAACTACTTTCTCCTTTTTTTGCCTTACTTTGGAAAAGCCAATCCAATGTAATGTATATTGGGTTTTGTATTTGGGATTTTACTTGTGTAAGCCACCTGGAGTCATTATGAGTTGAGTAGCCATATTTCTATTAATAAGTCAAATAAAATACAGGAAGATTTGAAGATACTAATATATATAAATATATATAAAATTTGTGTGTGTGTTTGATTGCATGGGACAAGGAATCTTCCTTCCTTCCTTCCTTCCTTCCCTCTCTCCCTCCCTCCCCCCCCCATACACAAACACACACACACACACACACATATATATATATATAGTTACCTCTGGTTTTTTTCTAAATAATTTCACCCAAGAGACTGCAGGTGACTAATGCAATTATTTGCTTTTCTGTTGCATGTGAAGTATATAAAAGCATAGGCAAGTGGCAATCTGTTTTCAAAATCAACCAACTGTAGAAGGAAGCCCATTGTCTCTCAGTAGATTGGCTTCAGAGGCATTTACAGTGCCATCAAAACTAATAGCCTTGGATCCTCACAACTTCCATGAATTGATCCAAAGTCCTTTAATTGTAGGGGTGTTATTGGTTGTATTGATCGAGCTGAAAGAATAGTCTTCTCAATTGTTCTAGCTCCTGTTTTATTGATGTGCTGTTTAATAACTGTTGATTTTGCTCATTCAGCATCTGCCATTCCTGCTACTTTTCCTGGTGCTGCTGAAGCACCTCCAGTCTGTTCTCAGCCTCCCATTCTAGCCTCAGGTATTTGTTCTTAATGTTCGCATATGCCATCTTAAACAGTATATTTATAGTGTTGGGCTAATACAGTTATTTTAATATGGCATACAATCTGATGAGAGTGGATGGTAGTTGGTATCACTGCACTTGAAGGCCAGGCTCCAAAACTATGTTCAAGTTCTGTCCTTAGTTTAGCTTATCAAATGCCTGGGTTCATAGTTTGTAATGTTTTGCCTGAAATGGGGATGCTTCACATTGATATAGTATGAATTGACTTATTTGGGGCTTCTGCAGTAAACTTGATTTTAAATCACAGAGGCTTCCCTCATTAAAATAGATGGCAAAAGTTTCCAAATTCCAGTGCACCCTAGAAGATTGAATGCTTCAATGCTGCGACTTGTTTCCTGAACTAACAGCTTTACTATCTTAAAATGAAAGCGATAGAAAGAAAAGACTACTAGCACATGTTAAAGGGTTGAATGTATGGCAAGATTCATTTGTGCCAATAGTGATAACTACAATTAATCCTCATGTAATGTCTGAAATTGGGACTGACAATTCCAGCACTAAGCAATGTGGTGAAGTGAAACTTCACATGACTCTACCCAACTTACAACTAATACAGTTCCACTGCAGTCATTAAGCAAATTGCCCATGGAAATTAAGCCTGATGTCACATGACCACAACTTGCAGCTTACTGCCTGCTTCCCCATTGACTTGTCAGTAAGAAAATATACCATTAAGAGCCACAAATGGCAATACCAGGACCATGGGATGCTGTGAACATTGTAGATGCCCACCAGTTTCAAAATGCCCAAGTCATGATCATATGTCTGAGGATGCTACAATGGCCATAATTTTAAGGACCAGTTGTAATCTACTTTTTCAAGACTGTATACAAGTTTGAAGAGATGCAGAATTAAGCTGTTGTTAATCAACGACTACCTGAATAGCTTAGCTATGGTATACGGTAGTAGTTTGCATGACTGTTTGGCAGCATCAAGCTGATTTTGGCTGATCTCAAAAAAACTAAGTTGGGTGGGAAACTGGGAAATGGCTAGAATGAGAAAGTGATATCTCAAAAGAAAGAATTACATGGATATGTCTCTAAAATTACTAGGAAATGAGTTCAACTCAAAGATTATACTTTTTCTTTTTGAGTGCTTAATTCTACGTGTGTCTTCATGGGAAATGTTGAGTCTGAAGAGTTATGACCGCAAAGACAGTTTTGTTTTATTCATCAAATGTGCATGCTGCCAAATTGGACTACACTAAAATATAGTAGCATTTTATATAATAAACAGTAATACAGTACAGTACACAAGAGCAAGCCAATGATATAATGGCTAAAAATTAATAAGCGTCCAAGAAAAGTTGCTTGGGATGAGAGGAAAAAGTTTGTTTGTTTTCTGGAAGCAGCTGTAATAATTTCTCCCCTACAAGAAATAGCGCTTTCATGTGGGAGGCTTTATAGATAACCTAATTTTTCTTCCTACATGTTCTTTTTCCAATGCTGATTTACTTTTTCTCCTTTAGCAGCTGTTTCCACCTCTTCTATTTATAGCCCCCTCCACCTTTCCTCTTCCTGCCATGATGCTAACTCTCCCCTTGCTAGCCTCTGTCCCTTTACTCCACCAGAACTGGTGACCTCTGTCTCTTTGGTACAAGCCACTCCTGATGCTGCCTTGTCTTCTGCTGACTCAGTTATGCTCTCTCAGACCCTTTCTCCCGTGAAGCCACCAATTATAGCTGGTGTTGCACCTATTGGTGTATCCCTACCTTTAGAGCCTTTAGCTTCTCCCCCAGCCTCAGTAATTTCCTCTGAATCTCTTACTTCTGCTCCATCAGCATCTCCTATAAGCCCATCAGGGACAACTTCTGCAGCCTCAGTTTCTCCATTTCCATCATCTCCTGTCCCAACTCCTTTCATTCTCCCAATTGTTCCTGTATCTCCTCCTATGGCTACAGCTCCCATCCCCGCTGAAGTTCCAGCTACTACTACTGTGGCTTCACCCTCTAGTTCAACTCCTTTCCCTCCAAATTCTGCAGATGCTCCTGCCTTATCACCAACACTTCCTGTCCTTAACACTGCAACCCCTACTCTCGATCCAGTGCCTCACATTTCATCCTCTCTTCCCCCTCGCCAGCCTTCCATACCCATCAGTTCTGTTCCATCTCTTCCTGATTCTATGACTGTTCCCAGTCCCATCATTTCTCCAATGCCTGTATCAATTCCGGGATGTCCTGCAGTGTCACCTACAGAATCTGCATATCATCCTGTGATTCCTTTGGCACCTATTTCCAGCTCTGAGATCCCAGCTTCCTTTCCTAAAGTTTCTGGGGCTGATCCTTTGTCTCCAGCAAAGCTTTCTCCTGCAATACCACCTGCAAAGTCTACTACTGCTCCTGAATCCAGTATGACATCCCCAGCAAAGCCTGCTCCTACACCATCGTTACCTGAAAGTTCTCCCGGCAAACCTGTTTCTGGTTCTCTGCCAGCTGTGAAATTGGCATCTGGTCCTGCAGCTCCAGAAGTATGCCCTGTGTCTGGTCCACTATCTGTTTCTTCCCAGATACAAACTCCTATTTTGGCACCTGTTCCTGACTCTGACTCTGTAACTGCTTCTCTAGACAAGGCAATGCTGGCTTCTAAACAGGTGGCTCCTGCCAAGTCCTCTGTAAAACTTTCTTCTCCTTCAGAATATTCTGCTGATGCTATAACCAGAGCAGGTCCAATAATGAAGCCTGCTTCTGGGTCTGTAGTCCCTTCTGGAATCCCAATAAGCCCTTCTAGTCCTGTGCCACTTTCTTCACAGTCAGGGAGTCCCACTTTAGCTCCTATTTCTGGCTCTACTTCACCGGGCACGGCAGTGTCCAAGTCTAAAGAACTGAGTACGGTACTTTCTTCTGTAAAACCAGCCTCCCCTTCAGAAATTTCTTCAGATCCTGTGTCCTCATCGGGCTCTCTTCTTACACCTTTGCTTCCTTCATCACCCCCAATGAAATCTACAGTGCCTATTCCTGAGCCCATTTCCCCTTCTGCTACAGTAGCAGGACTAATCTCTGTTCCAGGACTACCCAAAGGGAAACCTGTGAAAACTGTTTCTAGTTCTGTGGCTCCTAGAGGACCCCCTGTGGAATCTGCTCTCCTCTCAGCCCCTGTTCCTAGTCCAATATTGCCTCCCACAGGCCCTTCACCACCTGCCTCCAAGATGGTTCCATCTGTTTTGGAACCAGCTCCTGCTCCTTCACTATCTGCTTCTGTAACTCCGGGGATACCTGTTTCTCAGCCTGCAGCTGTTTCTGGCCTTGTGGCTGTAGTAGACCCTGCTCTTGTCTCACCAACATCTGCTATGAAGTCATTTTCAACTTCTGAACTTGCTTCTAGCTCTTTGTCTATGGCAGAGTATGCTTCTAGTCCTGCAACACCTACTGCCCGTACTCCTGCACCTATTTCTGGATCCACAGCCCTTCCTGTGGCTGAAGGGTTTACTCCTAGCTCATTGGCACCTGTCTCCCATCCAGTAGCAGCTTCCGAAGTACCTCCTCCAGAACATCAGGTGTCACCTATAGTTGTAGCAGAGACTGCTTCAGTTCCAGTGACAGTAGCTGCCCCTGCCCCGATAACTTCTCCTGTAGGCCCAACAATGGCAGTTTCTCAGCCAGTACCCTCTGAGGTGCGTGCAGCAGGAACCATTCCTGGAACCCCTGCTGCTTTTCCTAAACCTCTTTCCTCTCCTGACTTTGTAGCCTCTGTAATCCCTCCTCCTGGCATTGCGCCTCTTTCTTCTGCAGTGACTCCTCCCATTTCCCCTGCAGCAGCATTTTCTAGTCCAGTAACTCTTAGCCCCAAATTGCCCCCTGTCCCGGTTAGTTCCACTGTCTTGGCCTTAGACATGAGCCAGGTTTCCATTTCAACTGGGGAGGCATTGCCTCCCCAGAAAATGGCACCTTTGCCCCTTGCACCTGCTGACCCTTCTGTTTCTTCTCCTATTGCAAGCAGCCTCACTCAGCCAGCTTCTCCTGCACCCTCTGCTTCTACCCTTGTGAAAAAGCTAGAGTCTTCCTCTGTGCTTCCCAAGCCATCCCCTGTTGCACCTGCACCTGGTTTAGCACCTGAAGTTACCCCCAGCCCTATCTCTACTACCTTTGAAGACGACGAGCTGCCACCTTTGATCCCTCCAGAGGTACATGTTGAGGAGTCACCTCTGCAGCCAGTCCTGGTGGACTTCTCTCCTAAGACAGCTGTGCCCCTTGCTGAGGTTCCAGCAACTGCTCCTTTACCACCTCCTCCTGTCAAACAGCCTTTCCTGAAGAATGACAAGGGTATTTTTGCCTCTTCAGTTTGCTGTGTGCATGGATATCAAAGGCCACTCACTGAATACTAACTTAGTTGTACAGGCATGGAGTGTGAATTCCCTCTGCTTTAACTGTTAGACTAGAAAAATGCCATTTAGGATTTAAAATTTACTAAGTCAAAATAAATCTAGATTAAGTAATCTTAGTTGAAGTTTGTTGTGCACACCGTGATTCGTGATTTATGTTTAAGAACGTACACTATTAATGTGAACACTGAATCACTGGGCATGATGTGTGTGTTTAATAGATGTGTCATAAGCCTTGTCTGAGCTGATACCTCTGGAAGAAAACTAACCTAGAAACTGTAATCACCTCTTTATTTTCAAAGGCACACTGTCATTTCAGCCTGCTTTTTTGTTTCCAATGTTTTGCCTGTGGTTGCATATCTAGTAGATTTTGTTCATTGCAGTTGCATTTCATGAAATGTTCTGTGCTATGAGGTGATATTTTACCCTCATTGTAGAAGAATTTGTGGTCTAATGTTGATGTCCTTCAGTTTATTGTTCAGTGTCTATATTTGCAACTGCATTTTGGATGGGTGTATATAAATAGGAAGCTCTCTGTTAAATACTTGCATATACTGTGTGTTAAATTCATGTGTTGTCTCTTAGAGAAGTAGAAATGAGTAGTCTGGTGCTTCTGTCCAGTTTCTAGTCACTTAAATGTAATAACACGCATATGCAATTTGGAGTAAAGGTGTCAGGATTTAGAATCATCTGGAATTAATGTAGTATTAGACGGGGACATCAGTTGTGCTTGTTCCAGAAAAACTGGCCTGAATATGCTTGCTTGTCAGTAATCACATTTATTCCCTTCTTGTATTGCAGTCACACAGGTGTTAAGGCATGTGAGCTAGCAGTTCACTGAAACTTGCATCCAGAGATGGCAGTCATATAATGGTGGTGGGGAGGATTGTCTTGAAGTTATCACTGAAAGTTACAAATGCAAACTATTACATGATTTAAAAGTACTTTTACTTTTTACTTTTAGTCCTTGCAAACGTCTTTCTTAAATTTGGTTGCTTTAAAACCTTGGAAAGATGCCAGGAACTTGAGCAGTCTTTCTTCATCTTCCTTTCCCTTGCTCGCGTTCCTTTGTTCTTTGATGCAGGATAACCAGTTTGCCAAAACAAATTTAAACCATACTTCTGAATGACATACTATGTACTAAACAGGTATTTCTTTGGCTTCTGTGTACCCAGCTGCTTCAGGACACTGAACAATAACTCATAATTAAAACATGGATTAGTATGATGTCTGAATTCACTTTAAAGCAGTCTTAATTGGGGCTAGCTGTTATTTGTCCTATGTACACATCATGCTAAACCCTAGGTCTCAAAAACTGTGAAAATGAAGGGAATCTATGTATAATGAGGAAAAGTGTTCAGGTCCATAGCATATTTCTAGTCTCCAATCATGGGCCAAATTATGCCAGAATGAAACTCACCTTTTTTTTTTTTTTTAAGCACTAGTTAAATCAAACAATATCCTTATCCTGAGAATGTGATCAAAACCTTGTTCTAAGAAACTTGTTCTTCCTGGGAACCTTGTTTCAATAAAGAGAAACTCCAAGTCCTATTGCCACATAAGTTAAACCACTATTATATTAAATCACTGCCATTTCAGAATTTAGTTGTCTATATTTTTTTTATGTGTGTGGAGAATGTTGGAGATATGTTCTTTTACTACCAGACATTTTGAAGTATGCTGGCTTCAAAGTATTTTTTCACAATGTTGGCACAATAAAAGAATGAAGGTTTCTTCATAACCAAGCAGCAAAGCTCTGCATGTTTTGCCTGGGCCTGCCTGCCATACCCAAAAGAGACTAAGTTGGAAGAAATGATGCATATTGATTTCTGTAGGTTCTGGAACAGAATCCGACAGCGATGAATCAGTGCCAGAACTTGAAGAACAGGACTCCACGCAAGCCACCACACAGCAGGCGCAGGTGAGAAAGGGAAAGAAGAACACATAAACTGTATTTCATATGCTTGGGCAGGGCTGTAAAAGTAAGTATATTTCAACCTCAAAAAACTCACACAGTAATTGTGAATACATCATTTAGTTAGGTAAGATCTAACACCACAATGCTCAAGATATCCATTACAACAGGTGAACATAACTTGAGATGTAGGCTGCATGTAAACACCACTCCCTAAATCCTGGGGGTGTAGCCCTGGCACTCTCGAAAATTAGCCACCACATTATGATTTTTATTAATACCAAGAAAATTACTAAATGCATAAGGAGCTGATACTATTACAATGGCACACTGCAGTTGTGCTTTTCTGCCTAAGGTACTTATCCCCTATATTAATAATAGATGTTCTTGAATATCCTGGTCAGATGATTGCTATCTTTGATGGACTCCCATCTGCTGAGATGCTCACATTTTCCACTACTCTTTAAAAATAACATGAAATATTTTTAAAAATGAACAGCTACCCAGTCAAAATTAGCAATATCACCAGCAGGCTTGGGTAATGCTTACTCATTCTGCATCTCAATTCTTCTCATGTATCACCTCCTACCTAGAATGGAGGTGGGATTTATGAAATGTTAGCTATGATCAGCTCAGTGGAACTTGTTAATTTTTGTCCCAACAACTAGCTTTCATTGTATCCATCTTCCAACATACACAGTTCAAAGGCAATGTGCAGACCTCAACTTAAAAAAAAATAATACCCTGATTTGCAATAATTAGTTTTGCACATTAGTGCACATTCTAATTTATGCCATGGTTATAACACAATTTTTATCCATGTTGTCTATACTAATTAGAGAAATGGTGAATACAATGTATATGTATCTAAAATTGGTATGCTACAATTTCCAAATATGAAACCAGGGGAAGAGTATCCTGTATACGTAATATATTTTGAAAAGTGGGTGTTTCCCTTTTGAATAAACCATGCGAAGAACATAACATTTCAGAAGTTAGAGAGATAAACTACAATGGATGCTAACTAGGCAGTTTCTTGAATTTGTTTCTGCTGTATATATTTTTTTCCAGAATATGGAAATACAGCTGTTGCTGTTCTTAGGTTTTTCATCATGCCCTGCTTCCTTTGCATTCCATTATCTTTTTCCACCTTTGTTGGCTTTGTTTAACATTTCGGTGTTGTAGTTATAGCTAATACTGTAAATAAGGAACTTCCATGCTGTGGATTGTGATGTTTGTCATCCTATCTCTGACCTCACTCACTTTCACTCAGAACTTGTTTCTCTTCTGAAGAATACACAGGGAAAGTTCCAAAGACAGAGGCACTATCCAATAAATGTACTTCTCCACAGATCATTTGATCTGAGTTGGGACAGAAATAACAGTTCAGTATTTGAAGTTATGCAAGAAGCTGGGGGTAATTAAACAAACTAGGAGTTGTCTGGCAAAACTCTGGCCCTGTATTTTAATCTGAAGGATTTTTGGTGAAGATATGCATGTGCACGTTCTCATGATGATCAGCAGTTTTTTTTTAAAAAAGTATGTGGTGTTCTTGGCAGCTTGCTGCAGCAGCTGAAATAGATGAAGAACCAGTTAGCAAAGCAAAACAGAGCCGGAGTGAAAAGAAAGCACGGAAGGTAAGTGGCTTGCTTGATTCAGCCAACAAAAGTTGTTGGTGCCCCTGAATCTGCAACCATCAAAACTCGTGGTGGTGTTGCTCTTTCTTCAAGTCGTTTCTTATAGCACATCCTTAACTTTGCATAAGATACCAATGAACCCATTACTTTGTTTCCTTTTTGGCAAAGCCCCTGCTTATCCTACTGGGAAATGATTAGGGCATGAGATAAACTTTTATACACAACTTGTCAAAAATCCCATTTTTTTGTGTAATACCACAAAAAGGAATATATTTGAATACATCTCTTGAGTCTGTTGGCTTCCCCTCAGGGAATTTTTGTGCCCAGAGAAGTCTTATTCTATAAACCAGTGGTCCCCAACCTTTTTTATGCCACGGCCCGGTACCGGCATCAGCTGGGCGCCGCGGCCCGGTACCGGCATCAGCTGGGCGCCGCCATTTTGTTTTGATGAAAAAGTGCTTCCGGTGAGCTTTCTACCCGGAAAAGCTCACCAGAAGCACTTTTTCATCAAAACAAGATGGCGGCGCCCAGCAAACCAGCGGCCCGGTAGGATTTGTTCCACGGACCGGTACCGGTCCACGGACCGGTGGTTGGGGACCCCTGCTATAAACAGTCAAGCGCTGAAGTGCAGTCCTTGTTTTATAGAAGGTGAAACAGAGATAACCCATAGTTGACCTCATTACTAGCACAAAAACCTGAGTTTTTTTAATTTTGGGTTTTGAGCGGGAGATGCTATTTCCCTTTCAGGAAAAGATTATGTAGGTGTTCTACATTAATCAAAGAGTAAAAAGTATGTCTTCCATTACACTGGCCATCTTATAGCCCTTATGACCTCCAAATCATTACTATTGCAATATACTGTACATTAAGCCCTTGAGGAACAATTGGAAGCCTCAGCTGATGCAAAATGCAGTGGCACAGGCAGTTAATGGCATTGTTTTCTCAGTGCATGTGCTCCTCAAGCTGCATTGGCTTCTGGGCACAATTCAAGATGCTGGTAATTGCCTTTAAAGCCTTTCACAACTGTGTTAATTTATGGGATTATCTTTCCCCAATTGTTTGTACCTGTCCAGTCCAGCAGGAGGAGCATTCTCTGAGTACCATCAGTTGAGGGCGTGTAAACTGGCAGGATGCAGGAGGAGGGCGTTTAATCCAAGGCACCTAACCTATGGAACTTCATTCCTCTTTAGCTCTGACCCTGTTGGACTTTTTTAAAAATAAAAACTTAGGTTTATGCCCAGCCTGGAACCCGAGAGTATGATGGAGGCTGCCTCTTGGCTTTGTTGACCATTACTTTATGAAGCTCAGCTGCTATGCGCTTTTATATAATATATTTAAATTGTTTTTGTCTACTGTAAGCCACACAGAGTCACAGGTATGAAGTGGGTGGCTATATAAATTAAATAAACAATGAAATAAAATACTAGGAGTAATTTTGCCATGAGTTAGATATTTTTCCCACATGACAAAAGGAATAGTGAAAACCAGGCCACCTGCTGTAGAAGAAAAGGGACTTTTACAATAAGTCCAGTGTTGTGATCTCACTGTGGCTTATTATCTGCCATTCATTTACCAGTCTAGCTCAGGTACTCTGTGTCTAAATCTTTTTCTTGAACAATTATGTTTTGTTTCTAAGGCAATGTCCAAGCTTGGCCTTCGTCAGGTCACAGGTGTAACCAGAGTTACCATCAGGAAATCCAAGAACATCCTCTTTGTCATCACCAAGCCAGATGTATATAAAAGTCCTGCGTCAGACACCTATATAGTCTTCGGAGAAGCAAAGGTAAACTGAATTTAAGGAATCCCCAGCAAGGAAGTCTTTACCATTTGTTTCTGCAACTATCAGTAGATTTGCTACCAGTTAGAACTTTGGATTTACCATTCAAACAAACGAAGAACATTCGCTCTGCAGGACCTTTCTGACAACAGGTTCATATGGATCAATGGTTTCTTTCATGGGAAGGGTTAAATTTGTTTTGTGATAGGAAGAATTTATTCCAAACTGTGGAGTCTCTCAGTATCACTATTTATAAAGTTCTCTGTTTTGCTTTCTTTGCATTCCATTAGCATTGTCAGTTGGAAACTACCTGATTGTAGATAATTAAAAAAATCTCATTGGTTTTTTTTTTCCCCCTCATCCATTTCTACCAGATTGAAGATCTCTCTCAGCAAGCACAGCTGGCTGCTGCTGAAAAATTCAAAGTGCAAGGAGAAGCTATTTCAAACATTCAGGAAAACACACAGACTCCTACTGTACAAGAAGAAAGTGAGGAGGAAGAGGTAAGCGTCACTCTTTAATGTGTGAGGTGGACTTTCCAGGAAGTTTTAAGAAATGCATCTGGTACTTTATGCTAAATCATTGCTGCTAATTTTGTCTACTGAGTCAGAAGAGCCTACCTGTGGATATAAAATTACTTACTGGGGGTAATACTAGGCTAAAAAGAGGTATCAAACTGGAATGGCAGTGAGAAAAAAAGCCTGATACTTTTTTGTATCTTATATATGTCTACTGGCCAGCCTATGCTGACCTCCATCTCTTGTTAACATCTAGCTTCCTTTATATGTCCAAGTCCACAATAGGCAAGTGGTATCATTCATTCCAGGTTATGTCATGGTAGTACTTCAAAATACAGTATGCATGTACTTCTGTTCTTGCAGCCAGGGAAGTGCCATACCACTTGACTTCTTATGAGTTTTTCATAATCCTTTTTGAACCTTTAAATATCATTTTCAAATATTTCCTTCTGTTTAAGCGGCAAGCGGAAAGAAACAACCTATGAATATTCTCCTTCAGTATCTCCCAGCATTTGTATGGAGTACTGTGTATTTAAAAAAAACCAACAGTGCCAGTTGTTATTTCTAGTTTCAGTGAATTTTTGCTAGAGGCATCCATTTGTTAACTATGTTGTGTGCCATGCATGATCCTAATAAGTATAATTGTTCTTGAGCTTCCTTTCTTGTTGGATGAGCTGCCTGATATCTAGATAACAGCTTGTATGCTACCAGCTATGTGAATGGACTGTTCTCTGCAGTGCACATAGACTTCTTCTCCGCCATTAGTAGCAGATGCCTAGCATGGACTGGGATATGGAGCAAAGCCCAAAGTAGGAAGTGCTTTGGAAATGTGAACATGTATGCATAGTGGACCTATTAGTCTGCTCTATAATCTTTTTCTTCTCTCCTAATCAAGCCACACTCTCTCTATATGTAACAGTGCAGGATTCAGTCAGCCAAGCTGTTGTATTTTGTTTATTAAATTATGTTTACATTTGGAGTCCCTAGATGTGTATGATACTACATACAGCAATGAATCTCCATTTTGTTCTTTTTCTTTACTTGTTTTCCCTGGATTTTATAACAATGTCTCTTATTTTGGTATATTTTTCACTAGACCAGGGAAGCTCATCATTCCATACTAATGAGATAAAAAATGAAAACAAATTAGGTTTTTTTTAAAGTTCACCAGAATGTAACAATCTGTAAGGTTCATTAGGTTATATTTTGTTCATACATTTCGTGGCATCTTAAGAAGTTCTTATAGTTACTGTGAAATCTTGAGTATTACAGAGTAATAGAGCATCTCTTTCCTGATTAACAGAAAAGCCTGGCAGATGCCTTGAGAGATTATCTATCTTTTTCCTTCAGGTTGATGAGACTGGTGTTGAGGTGAAAGACATTGAGTTAGTTATGTCTCAAGCAAATGTTTCCCGGGCAAAAGCCGTTCGTGCCCTAAAGAATAACAGTAATGATATTGTAAATGCAATTATGGTAAGTGACTGATTAAATGCTATATGTGACTAGGCTGCTGTACCGCAAAATCTAGAAGGTAGTTGGGAGAATTGATCATGGGCATTTTAAGTAGTTATTTCATTTGATTATCGAGCTCATTACAGGAATAATGTTCTGTTTTTATTCAGTATGTTTGCTAGTAATTGTTAAGAGTACAGGGAACATGGATATCAAGATGTCATATGTTCTAAAAATTTGGTTAACTACTGTAGATTAATTATGCAGTGAAGCAGAGAAGTGACTTATAGGAGAAACTTCTGTTTCCAGATAGTCCAGTTAAACCTTTTTAAGCTAACACAAATTACGGCAATATTGTTTCCTCGGGGACTACATAAATGCCTTAGTGCTCAATGTTATATCCTAGGCAACTATTCAGGAACTAGGCACTGTATCTTTGCCTGTGCTTTGTAACAGCAACAATTGCACCCTTGCTGTTCCTTGACCTCACAGGCAGTTATAATAATACCCCTCAGGGTCACTTGGCTCTGCTGGGTGGCTAAACAATTTGCTCTGAGCATTCCCATCCCACGTAAGGGAACAAAGAAAAAGGTTGTTCCTCACTTGCTCTTTTCTGTTTCTTTCCAGGAATTGACGATGTAGCCATCCGGAAAGGACTTTTTAGTGTTACAAAGAAATTACAGCTGAATTGAAAATTTGTACTATTTCTATCAGTTAATAAAAGTGGTGGTTTAAAAGATTTTACACCTATTTGTTTTCCACAACATGTTAAGAATCCTCAAATTGGGGGCAGGGGAGGGAAATAGTGGCTAATGATCCTGATTTGAATTCCTTATTTGCTGGAAAGTTTTTATTCTTTGAAATTTTGCTAGAATGCCAAAGAAATGGCTTGATGTGAATCATTTTTTCATACCGGTAGATGCAGCTGCAATCATAGAAACAGTGGTTGTATTCACAATTTTCCTGTTAATGATCTCACTAAAAAATACACGTGATAGAGAAATGTTGTTTCTGTTTCAGCAATCCCTGAAAACATTTTGCTACAGTTTCTGTGGTTACAATAGTTCTCACTATAATGCTGATTCATAATTTGGACTCCTTCTGTTGTTTATCCTTGTTGATTAATACATATATGAAGTATTGTACCTAAAATGCAAATCAAACAATACTGTAGCTGTCACTGTAGCTTCTCATTAGAAATTCAGCAGTAGCATTACTGTGTGTGAATACTACTTAATTTTGTTTATGCAGAATCAATTTGTGAAGGAAAAAAAATCCTGCTGAAAAGTAGGTGAGAGACATGCTCTTGAATAGTCAGATTGCATCCTTGCAACATCGATGCTGATTTTACAAATAACTGAAATCTAAGCAATATAATTGTTCAGTGAATATGGCAGAATTATAGCTTGTCTTTCCTCATGCTAAAGAAGCAGTAAGTTACAGTTTTGTTTTTCTATCTTGAATATTTCTTTATCATACATTGGTTTAAGCAGTCATGCACAAAATTAAATTTCTGTGGGAAAATCTAGTTTTGTCCCTTCTATAAATAAATTTGCATAAATTTATGATTTTTACATTTGTTCTGTTAGGAGTAAAGTATATGCCCTTTTTCTACCCCCTGGAAAATTACTTAACTGCACATTTCTCAGATACATTAAAAATTCAGCTTTAAAAAATAAGGACAAAAATAGAAAAAAATCTTCAATATAAAGCAGACATTATATTAAAGTATGACATTTTGGTGCTCTTAATAATGATGCATATTATGGTTTTCTGGTATTTGGGGTTTCAGCTATCTTATAACATAGTCGTTGATCAATTATATATAGGAAAAATACTGTAAATTGAGTTTCAAACAGCTGGTGTGTCAGTATATATTTTATAATGCCATATTCTAGAGTTCTCAGTGGTCCACATTTTTCATAAAGCATTACTTTAAACATGAAAGGAATCACTCCCAAGTAGAGAAGGATACTGGCATATGTGCATTATCTTATGCTGGCTCTAAATAATGATGGAGCTATATTCAACAGTTTTATTTGGCCTTAGATTAAAAAAATGTTTGGATTTCAAATACAACTCTTTGTAATGACCAGGTTCCCCAACAAGCTAATTAATGTGGCATACCTCTGGTTTAATATGTCTAGTAAGCCTTTATGCTTTAGAATGATATGAAGTTTGGTCAGTATGGATTGTTCAAACTATGTTTTTAATATTCTGGGATAGAATTAATTGCAAACACAGTATTTGTTCCCAGGTCTCTTGAAGAGAATAGATTCTTACAATCATAGGTATTCATGGGGGAGCAGAGTGGCAAATGACACGTGCCTTAAGATGTCAATATGCATATTACATGATTTTGGTACTTACATCAAATATACTTTCATACAGTAATTGCACCCTTGTGGCTTGATACAGATGCTCTTGGTTAAGTGGCTCATGTAACCAATTCAGAGTTACAATCAAGGAAAATACAGATACCCTTGAACTACTTATTTCATTATACACATTTATACGGCTATCCAACTGATAAACATGTGGCTTTGGGTAGCTTACAACATTCATTTGTTATTTATTACTGAACTAAATCTGCAGGTCCATAAAAAGAAGTCTGCTATTACATCTATTTACTTGTAAAACACATTACACAAAGTAGAGAACATTGTGTAGGAAATCCTACATTGTTAAAATGATTCTCACTAGTGTGGTGTAAAATTACCCTTAACTAATGCTATAGAAGTTGGGGGTGGTGTTAGTGAAGATCTCATTAAGATCTTCTCTGATTTTACATTTAAGAGTAATCCAAATCAGCAAACTTCTATAATTATTAGCAATGGAACCAGTATCTGAAGATAAAATGTTGAGATAACAGTACATATGGCATATAATATATAACCCTAGAAATTGGGTTATTTTTAGATAACATCTGTATTTGCTTTTCAAAAATCCTGATGATTTGGGTATTTTGCAGCATGCAGTTCATTCATTTATAGTATCAAACAAAAAATGTAAATGTAAACATTTCAAGATAAGTACACTTGCAATAAATCCAGAGAGTCACATAAAAGGAGAGAGATTCTGCTTGAAAAAAACACCTGACAGACAAGTGTGTGCAACTTAGAGGTTTTGCATTGTTGAGAACTGCTCTTCATTTGTGGATTCTGTTTGTTTCCCTGTTGATAAAAATGATAGGACAGCAACTATTCAGGATTATTGTTTTGTGGACCTTAGCAAAGGTTTATGATACTCTATGTCCTTATCTGTTGATAAATCTGGATCGTTTATGTATATTCAACCACAGAATAGATAGAAAAATGATTTGGATCTTCTTTGCATCAATGCCCTTCCAGATAAGATTGTTCTCCAACCTTCTGGAGATTAACAGAAATATTATAGCAAAACATTTTATTTTATTTTATTTTTTATTATTTCAATGTGTATGGCCATCCATCTTGCTGTAGCAACCCCAGGCAGGTAAGAGTTAAAATAATATAAAAACAACATAAAAACTCAAGGACAGCTGAAGTAAAACAAAGAACCACAATTAAACAGGCTGGCTGCAACCATTCAACCCCTGTAAAAATACAGCTGAAATAATTATTTTTAAATCCTTCATAATTCTTATATTCTGAATACCATTTACAAAAATTCTGGTTGCTCCAAAATATTATAATAATTTTATTCAGGTGGCTTGACTTATCTGCTATTGAAATTGTGTGTTATTTCTACGGAAAGTATAAGGATTGACTAATTTCTAACATAAGGGATGGGCTTAGACAATTTTATCTGGGTTTTTAAAATCTACTTTGGGGGTTTTCAAAACATTGAGAGTCATCAACTGGAACCATTTTGCAAAAATGTTTTTAATTTTAGATAAACATAGGAACTTGTTTGTACTTTGCATGTTTATTTTTATTTATATCCCACCTTTATTTTTATAAATAACTCAAGGTGGCAAATGCACACTATTACTCTCTTATTTTCCTAGAACTCTGGGTTGGGCTGAGTGAGTGACTGGCTCAAAGTTACCCAGCTGGCTTTACATCTAATGCAGGGCTGGAATTGTATATATGCATGTGTATGTAAACACAAAATTTAAATTTGTACCTGATCTGATTAATGAGTTACATTAAAATATGTAAATTTTTTTAAAAGTACTGTCCTGTCGTAATGACAGAATCCATATTTTTACTTTCCCAGTGTACTATAGTTATAAAATGTTTGCTAATATCTCTTATTATATGAACCAAATGAACAGTAGGTTTATGTTAAAGTAACCTGATCCAGGCAAGGTCCTTATTTGGAGAAGTGTTGTTTGTATGCTTACTTGTCTGTATAATATATAATTTTAGAAAGATTAAGTAATACAGATGTTTTTTCCAAAGACCATTTATAGAGCAATTTTAAAAATTAATAAATGTTTAAATAAATAGCTAAATAAAATGTACTTTTTTAAAAAAATTAAAAGTTACTATTATATATGGGTAACATTTTTGCCTTCATTTTTTTTAGTTTTCTTAATAATACATCCCCATATGTATGGTCTTTGGAGGTCATCTTGAAATGAGTTCGCAACAAAAGAGTACACAAGTTGTTAATGAAGGCGTATTTAGATGAGCTCTTATTTAACAAGAAAAATCATTCTAAATCCTATTTCTTAAACAATGGCAGATGCCTAGAATCAAAATTAAGTTGTCAGTTTCATAGCCTGAAAAGTATCAAATATATTAATTTGTACTACCTATCATAATTCACATCTTCAAGATGGGAGGGGGAACCTCTACCATCCCTGGTTCCTATCAGTCCCAATCCAGAATGAGAAAGAGGTGAGTAGAACTGGGTGGCCTCAGGCTTCTCATTATAGTTTTAAATTCTATAATGGTATAAACAGCTTGTATGTAAACTCAGTTTCTAATTTAGACTCCTCTCTAAGATGAAGAAATGAATTAGATACACATTTTAAATGCAGTTTCATTTGCTGCATAAAGTATGATTATCAGTTGCATGTCACACTAGCAATGTTGGAGGGTAAAGACTAAACAAGTTAAGGAAATAATGGTGCAGTTAGTAATTAGGTTAAATGCTTAATGTCATTTAATAGGTACAGTATTAAACTACAGTATTGATGATAACTACAAATGTCCTGGCAATGGAAGGCTGGTGATGAAGTCTGTTGAAAGAAGAACAGACCAAAAGGGAATCATCACTCCCAATCCAGTGGATACTGCCATTATTGACTGGTTTCTAGCACTCCTCTCACTTTCTTGAATTAAAAGGTAATTTTCCTGTAGTTTGCTAATTCATTTGCAGTTGTCTGCATCAGTAATCTAGGTTTCTTGTGAGACTGGTAAGTGACCTAATAATAATGTCATGCAAACCTTGAAATCCTAGCCTGATATTCTGCCCAGCCATTATGTCAGGCTCCATGAGAGAAAATGCACCTGTTTCAATGTTTTCTGTTCCCAATGCAAGTCAGCATTAATGGTTATTTCGTTGCCAGGAGGAGAGGCTGGATTTATTTAACCCTATTTTGGCAACAACTCTTTCTTTAGAAGTGTATCTCAGCTACCAAAAAACCAATGAATTATAGGGACACACAACTTTAATATTGATCTCTTAACATGTATGGCTTAAAATGGGGGTGACCAATTTGTGGCTGTAGGGCTGTATATGCATGCCCTCCAATTTCCCTCTTTTGGATCCTTGCCAACTTGAAATTTTCCTGTCAATGAAGCTGGAAATGTGTGGAAACAAGTGTCAGTGCAAAAGTGCTCTAATCATTGTGTTAAGATAGTGACCCACTCCAAAT